TAAGGAATTGACTTTGATATCATCATGTCAACAGGGTCTATACGAGGGTGAGAGAGTTTGACTTATTTGTTGCTTTTGGGTTTCCTACAGTTTTTATATTCACTTTGCCTCTGTCATTGGCAGGTGTCTGTTGGTCCTAATCTGGTGATCTGTTTATTTTCAATGACTTCGCTGAAGTCGGGCTTATCCTCCCAGTGGTTGACTTGGATGCCGGCTTTGTTTGAGTGCACTTATATATGAATAGTTGTATGTAGCTCGAGAGCGAGATGCGCATGAGAGGGCTATCGGCCCGAATAGTAAGTGTTGGGTCGTACCCATGCTAGTATATTTGTAGGTGCAGGGTCCGAAGGGACTGGAGTGTGGCTCGTCAGGGTTGGCTCATACTCTTATCTTGCTCGGGGGGGTTAACTGAGCATTCGGTGCTTGGCAGTTTTTCGGTTTCCTGCTTTTGTTTTTCTTCTAGGCAGTACTTATGTTTGCGGCTTTTCTTGCTGAGTTCTCTCTTCTAGTTTTTCGGGCTTTACTCTTACCCTTCAATTGTTTGCTTGAGTGGGTTATACCGGTGCAGGACCGCATTTTCTGGGCGGGTCTGGGCGTGTTTTGTGTCGGTTCTTGTTCTCATATGGAGATGCAGTTTGAGGGGCTGCTGGAGGCGTTTATTTTTTTGGGTTCTCCTTACATGTCCTGCAGGTTGTTGTGATTTGGGAGTATTGGTAACGGAACACCTTTTTGACCTAGTCTGGTGGGGGTGGGACTGAGCGTCAAGATGTGGCAGCGGATTTCTTGGCTATAACACTCGCTTATGAGTTTGCACCGCAGTAGTATGATTAGGTGATGTTACACTGTTTGCGAATGAGCATGTGCTGGGGTTATGGTAGCGCCAGTTGCGGGTGGATAGGCATGAGTCAGTAGATTGCATGCTAAGTTGATGTCGAGGGAGTGCACTCGATCGTTTCCTACTTACCGCGCAGTTGAGTGTAATGTTTCGGGCGTCGATGATTGTATGGTGTTTCCTTTTAGTGCTGGGTGGTCTTGTATGTGATACGAGAGACAGAGGATCGAGAGGAAAGTTGGAGTCAGGGGGAGATACACTTATTTTGAATGAGTGATGATCTCGGTTTGCTTCTACCCTGGTGGAATTTATGGAGGATACTGGTTTTTTGGCTTTGTGAGTCATTGGCGTTCAGGAGTGTACCGGGCGCAAGGAATAAAGAATACCACTTCAAAACCTTCGACGAGGTAGTCTTTTGTTGGAACTTGACTAGTCTTTTGCTAGATAACGAGGAAAGAGAAAAGAAGAAAATCCCACTCTGTGTGTTCCTGTCCATCTGTCTATTGGGAGGAAAGGGTGGTTTTATGTTGTTCTTCCTTTTTGGGGTTTTGCGCTGTGAGGGGGTGTTTTTCCCTTAGGATACCTGTAGAGGTACTATATCGCTGTTCACTTCATTCGTTCGGCAACTAACTTGGCGGTTTGTATTTGAAACAGTAAACTTAGACGTGTGTTTTCTCCTGTCACGCGAAAATTCTTCGACAAATTGTGCCCAATTGATCTGCGTTTCAAATGCTTGTTATGTTTTGTTTTGCTTTTTATGTATCAGGTTTTTGGAGTTTGTTTATTCTTGCTTGTGTTTTTTCTTGAATATAATAATGTCTTTTGGTCTTTTCCTTTTTTCGTTTCTTGTATATTTGTGTTTTTATTTTTTTTGTGCGTGCTTTCGTATCTCAAATTTATACTCTGTTGTTTTGTTATTTTTTTCCTGTTCATATTTTGATGTTTTTTGCTGTGTGTTAATCGTTGCCTTTGTGATTTCTATTTCGTGTTCTGTGGTAATAATATTGTCTTTATTATATTTGTCTCTTCTCTTCTCTGATTTTGTTTTTCTTGAGCTTGCTTTCTTTTCGATTTTTGTGTAATTTGTGTCTTTTTCTGTTTTTTTCGATTTTTATTCTCTTGTCGTCTTTTTGCTCTTTCTTTTTTCGATTTTCTTGATTTTAATTTCTTTGTTGTTGTTCCGTGTTTTTTGTGGCTCTCTCTTTGTGTTTTATTGTATTTGTGTAGTTATATAGTTCTTATTTTTTTTGTCTTATATTTCGTTTTTCTTCATATAGTTTTACTTATATTCTTGTTATATTTTTTTTTGTCTTGTGTGTTTTTTTTATTCTTATTCATTCTTTCTTTTTTTTTCTTCTTCTGTGTTGTATCTGTTTTTTTTTTTTTTTTATATTGATCTTATTTGTTTCTATTTCTTTTCTTTTTTTTTTTCTTTTCCTTTTTCTACTTTTTATAGTTGTATATATTTTATTTCTTTTTCTTTCTTCTCTTCTCTGTGTTATTTTTTTTTTGTTTGTTTTTTTTGGTTTTTTTGTGTTTCTCTGTGTGTGTTCTGTTTTTTATTTTTTTTATTATCCTTGTGTTTAATTGTTTATGTGTTTATGTCTCTTCTTTTGTTTCTTTTTCTCTGTTCTCTTCCTATTGTATTATTTTTTTTTTATATTTTATTTGTTGTTCTTCTCTTTTCTTTTTTTTTTTTTTTTGTTTTTTTTTTTGTTTTTTTTTGTTTTTTTTGTTTTTTTTTTGTTTTTTTTTTTTTCTTTTTTTTTTTTGTTTTTTCATTTTTTTATTTTTATATTTTCTCTTTATTTTTTATCTGTGTTCTCTTTGTTTTTTTTTCTTCTTGTTATTATGGATTGTTTGTGGTGAATTGTTATTGTTTTTTCTCTGTTTGTTTTTTTTTTTTTTTTTTATTTGAATTTTGTGTAGTTGTTGGTGTTATTATCTGTTATTTTATTGTTTGTGTGTTGTTTGCCGTTTGCTGTTGTGTGGTGTGCTTCGGATATCCTTTTGTTTTCATTCTGGTTTTCTCTTTCTCTTATATTATAGTTTTTTATATTTATCAGTATTCTTGTACTTTCTATGTTTTTCTGGTCTCTGATTAGTTGTGTTGTTCTTTTTATATTGTTTTGTTAGTTTTCCTCCTTGGTCTTCTTTATATTTTTCATTGTTGTTTCTGTCTGGTGTTTCTTTGTTGTTCTTCTATTCTTTTTGTGTTTCTATTACTCGTCTTTATTTTTTTTATTTTTCTTCTCTTGTGTTTATTCTCTGTTTCTTATAGTGTATATATCTTGTTTTTTGTCTTTTGTGTTTGTTATTTTTTGATTTGTTTCTCTTCTTTATATTTATCTATTGTGTGTATTTATTTTTTCTCTCTATTATATTTATTTTTTTTTTTTACTCTCTATCACTCTTTATTTATGTTCTTGTATATATTTATAATTATTTATTTTATTTTATGCGTTATTTTTTTTATATATTTTTTTCTCTCTTATTTTGTTCTTATTGATTTTTATTTATTATTTTTTATCTCTGTTTATTTCTATAATTTGTGCTCTCTATTCTCTCTATCTTTTTTACTTATTTGTTCTTCTATTCTATAATTTTATTTGTTAATGTTTTAATGTGTATTATATTTTGTATTCATGTGTTTATTTTTTTCTTTCTTCTGGATTTATTATTTCTTTTTATTTTGTGTTATTGTTTTTGTTTTTATCTCTTTTTTGTTTATTGATTTTATTGTGTATGTGTTTTTTTTTGTTTTGTTTTATATCAATCATTTTTGTCTTTTTTCGTTTGTTTCTTGTTTCTGGTGTGTTCTTGTTTCTCTCTCCTTGCTTGTTTAATTGTTTATTATTGTCTTCTCTTTTTCATTATATTATTTGTGTGTGTTTTATCTTTTACTTTCTTGTTTGTTGTTGTTCCTCTTTTTTTTTTTTTCTTCTCCTTTTTCTCTCTTGTTTTTTTGGAGTTCCGCGAGTGTGTGGCTTCAAACAGTCAACCTCCGGCGCCTCTCATTTCTGGAGCTCTACCAAGTGGTGATGCGGCATCTAATCGTCCTTGAAGATACCCTCTTGTAAATTTGATTTGATTTGATTTGATTTTTTATTTTTGATTTTTTTATTTTTATTTTTATTTATTTTTTTTAAGGTATGTATAATGCAAATTTATGTAAAAATTTCCTGAAAAATAAATAAAATGGACCTTCTATTTCTCTCTATGCATTTGTTTTTTTTTTCTTTTTCCTTTTTCTTTTGGTGCTGGATGCACCAAGTTCCATCATCATTATTTTTTTTTTTTTTTTTTTTTTTTTTTCTTTTTGCACATGGTGCCCATGCACCACCAGAAACTTTTGATTGCCATGGGCATGGGGCTGTTCCCCATCTTTGATCCACCATCCCATTTTCTATTATTATTTTTTTTTTATAAATTTCGATGATGGGCTGGGGAATTTGCAGGGAAGGACGAAGGCGAACTCAGAGCTAGAGCTTGAGGAAGAGCTTCTCGGCCGGCTAGTCGTTTGACAGCGGTCTTTGAAGTTGTTGGCAGCTGCGAGGCAAGAGACGGAGGAGGTGGAGGTGACCTTGATGTCGGGTCCAGCTAGAACCCAGAGCACAGCCACTGAGCCCAACCACTGAGCACAGCTGCTGCACACTCGTTGTACTGCCACCGAGCACCGCCACTGCGCATCCGTTGCACTGCCAATCGCTGCAAAGGATTTATGTTTAACGGCGGCGATGCTGCCCTATTTGCCATGCTATGCCGACGTGCTTCACACAATTAACCGTCCAGAATTGTTAAACATTCCATCTCGGTTTATCACAAGACAGAAGAAAAACCAAGATCCATCCATGCCAAACACCAATCTGCCATCTTTTCGGGATCTGTCACGACATCATCAGCCAAAACCTGCTTGGTCCGCTCGCAGATTGGGGGAGAGGAAGAGTTGGCGGAGTCAGTAGATGGAGTGGAAGTAGGGACCACGGGGCTGGTGGAAATGGAGGTACAACCATGGTTGGGTGTCGATAGTGGTGTGCTCACGGCTCTCGGATCTGAGGAGGATCAATTGAAGTTGGCGTCGGCGCCGAGGCCGAAGGTGGTGAGTGCGAGGTTGGTGAAGTGGTCAACACTGGAGGAGTTGGTGGTGTAGCTGAAGAGGAGCCTGGGGTCAGAGGAGAGAGAGATCTGATAGAGTCATTATACTGTATACAAAAGGTCCAGCTATTGAATCAGCAAGCCTTTGTATGGGTGCTTCATGTCCTTGAGCATCCTCAACCATGCGAACGATCTTGAATATCATTGAATTGGAGCCAGTTGAAGATGCTTCAACCCGCAGAGGACCATCCCAGTTTATTGTTCCAGCTGAGACAGTAAGGTCTTTTTCCTTGAATACAGGAAGTGATTCTCCTGTGAGCATGGATTCGTCGACAACACTTCTTCTAGCCACAACTCTTCCATCCACAGGTATGGTTTCTCCTGGCAAAACCAACACAGAGTCTCCAACCCGAACCTCGTCAGTTGGGACTTCAACGCATATTGCATCAGAGAAAAGTACACTGTTGCTGGAGGAATCATTTTCCGGGGAACCAATTACAAGTATTGCTTGTGTGTTTATCAGTGACAAGAGTTCATTCATATCACTAGATGCCTTGATCCTTGCCCTTTCCTCGAGAGAACGTCCTAGGAGCACAAAACCAAGAAGCATGACCGGCTCATCGAAGAACGCTGCATCCCATTGAAGCCCAGGGTTGAGAAGCGAGACCGCACTAATTGTAAAAGCTGCGAGGGATCCAAATCCCACAAGAGAATTCACGTTTGGTGGTCCTTTCTTGAAGGCTCTCAGACCATCAAAAAGCAAGTCACGGCCAGGTCCCAACAAAGCTCCGGTAGCTAAACCCGCCTTCACATACGAATTATGCAGCAACTCCCAAAACGATCCATGAGCAGCATGAATTCCTAGAGAATGCAAAATGTGAGAAGCAGGCGATCCGCAGCATAATGCCACTAAAGTCCAAGCTAAAATCACTCTGTTCCTGCTCTTCACCAGCATCTCCTCCTTCTTCTTCATGTGGTTTTGAATTTCTACTGTACGCCGGAGAACTTCGTAGTTGATGTCCTCCAAGACGTCATCGGCATCATGAGCTACGTCTTTCAGATTCTTGACCCAGATTCTGACTGCCATGCTCCGATCCCGTGGTTGGTGGGCAACATCGCCTAAGTACTGTTAAATCTCAAGTGACGATTGACGAAGCTCTTTTTTGAATCCTGGGAAAAGACCGATTCTGAAGCAGCAAGTGAAGTGACCGACTGTAGTAATCCCTCCACCGGAAAAGTGTAGAGAACCATACCCGCCACTTTTCTTGGTCTTTGAGTTGAGCCCATGGCCGGTGCTTCCTCGTCGGGGGAGACGACGGAGATTTTGTCCTCGGCGGCGATGGTGGCGGAGAATAGGATTGAATAACCTGAATCTGTGCGTGTGAGGAACTAACTTGCTCCGCAGGGATCACAAAAGTGTTTACTGGTATATTCTTGGTCCGTAGTACACATCCTACTCGTGCTACAACCTCTGCCGGTTCTTCATTCCACGACTGGTGACGGCGGTGGAGCTGATGCTGCGGATCCGAACCCGGAATCCGATAACCGGCCACATGGGTATCGTCGTGGGATCGCCACCGTTCGTCCCCAACCACATTCCATGAAGGTTCCTGTTGACGCAGATCCGGGTACAAGCTGCTGGTCCTCACTCCTCTGTCCATCGTGCTAGTAGCACCACTGCTCTGATTATCGACCGTCCGACTCCGATCTGGATACTGATTGTACCACTGACGTGGGGTTGATGGGTTTGACTTCTCAAATTTCTGCAGAGCTATGACGATCAAGGCGAAAACGAAGGCACCGGAGCTGAAGAAAACGGAGGAGGCAGAGCGGCCGAGGCGGCTGCTGCGATGGTTGGACTGCCGGAAAGAATTAGAGGCTTGGAGCCAAAACGGTGGCGACATGTTTTCCTCTTCTTCAAATCGAAAGCTCGTGCTTGATGTCGATGATGACGACGGAACCTGCTGCCTTCTTCCATTTCCGACTACCACTCTTTCCTCCACGCAATCGATTTTCAAAGCCCTAATTCCCAAATCAAATCATACAGGATGTATATCACACATATACATATAGATACACGGTGGATAGAAATTGAATCTCTCTCTCTCAAACATTTCTTACAGAAAGAAAAAAAAATGGCCAGTCGAATCGATTGCGTGGGAACCAGAGGTCGGTACTTGCAGGCTGGATCGAGGAGACGACGGAGAGAGACGGAGATGGTGAGCGCGCTGAGAGAAGACGACTTGTCGTCCGGGGATTAAGGCCTGGTGGGCGAGGGATTGATGGGCCCATATGTCTTGGGTTTAGGAGCTGAATGAGGATGGGACCATTGTTGGTGCTGGACCGAGACATACATATATATATATGTTTCCTTTTCCTTATTTCCCTTTTTTTTTTCTTTTGAAGAAATTGTATATTTTTTTTTCTTTTTCATGATTTTTTTTTCGAAGAAACCGTACAAAGAAATTGTAATAGCATCAAAACTTTTAATTAAATCTTTATTCCTTATTTCGGTGTGATTGAACTCAAATTTTGAATATTCGAGCTGCCTACGTACCCCTCCAAAGAAGAGATCAAGTCGTAGTTCAAATACATATTTTTTTTGGATTTTTTTTTTTTTTTTTTTGTGCCGTTTGCAGTTTCAGCTCATGCAGGCAAGGAGTGTTGGTGTCGTGCAGTTTAGGCTTGTGCAGGCGAGGAGCCTTGTGTCTTGCAGTTTAGGCTCTTGCAGACAAGGAGCTTTGGTTCGTGCAGTTTTAGGCTCGTGCGAACAAGGAGCATTTGGTGTCGTTTGCAGTTTCAACTCGTGCAGACAAGGAGCATTTGGTGCCGTGTTGCAGTTTCAGCTCGTGCAGGCGAGGAGCCTCGTGTCCTACAGTTTAGGCTCGTGCGGACAAGGAGCTTTGTGCCGTGTTGCAGTTTTAACTCATGCAGGCAAGGAGTGTTGGTTTCGTTTGCAGTTTCAACTCATACAGGCAAGGAGCGTTTGGTGCCATGCAGTTTAGGCTCATGCAGGCGAGGAGCCTCATGTCCTACAGTTTAGGCTCGTGTGGACAAGGAGCTTTGGTTCGTGCAGTTTAGGCTCGTGCAAACAAGGAGCATTGGTGTTGCCTTTTATGCTCGTGCAGACCAGGAGCTTTGTGCCATGCAGTTTAGACTCATGCGGGCGAGGAGAATTTGTGAATTTTGTCAAGCAATCCGGGAGAGGCGTTCCTCACAATTTTCATAGCAAGGAGCTTTGACCGCGTGATTGAAGAAGTCTTCGGGCAAGAAGTCGCGCATCGTGATGGGGACGGACGATCTTCGTGTCGAAGTTTCATCATCTTCAACACGTTCATGTTGCTTTGAAGGTTGACAAGAGCTGCTTTGCCCCCTTTCCGATTGGCGGACATGTGGAGGAGACGTATGCTTCTTGTGCAATTTCTTAGGAGTGACTTGAGTCCATCCTTCAACTTTGCTTGTCTTGGAGGATGCCCCCAGCAGTTGAGGTGAAAACTTTGAGTCGAAAGAGCCAGAAGTGAAGGTGGTATAGTTTGACTTCGCCACATCGTCAAGATCTAGCTCGATGATTCCTTTCTGAGCCAACTTCATGATGAGATCTTTCAGCACGAAACATTTTTCTGTCGGATGACTGATGAAGCGGTGGAATTTACAGTATCTTGGACTGTCGGTACGATTCATCTCTTCCGGCCGTCTGCACTCAGGCAAACTGATCACCTTCTTGTCCAACAGGTCGTCCAGCATGGCAACCACATCAGAGTCGGGGAATGGATAAGTCTTCTCCTCAAGCTCCTTCAAAGTGCGTCTACGTGTCTCTTGATCACGAAAAGCTTCGGTTTGAATCGCCTTGCCTCGTGTGGATATTTTGACGGGAGATGTGTTGACCGTCATCGCTTCCTTGGTGGGTTTCCACGTAGCCTTCTCCACCTTTGTCTCAAGAACTTTGTCATTCTTGTAGTTGGCGATCGGTTCCTTCTTCCCATGATGGGCGATGCTTAACTCCATGTCATGGGCGCGAGTGGCTAGCTCTTCGAAGGTCCGTGGTTTGATGCCTTGAAGAATGTATTGCAAACCCCATTGCATGCCCTGGATGCACATCTCGATTGAAGAGGTCTCCGAGAGCCTATCTTTGCAGTCGAGGCTTAGAGTGCGCCATCTGTTGATGTAGTCAATGACTGGCTCATCCTTCCACTGCTTTGTGCTCGTTAGCTCTAGCATGCTCACAGTGCGGCGGGTGCTGTAGAAGCGGTTGAGGAATTCCCGCTCTAATTGCTCCCAACTGTTGATGGACTCAGGCTCTAGGTCCGTGTACCACTCAAAGGCATTTCCTTTCAGCGAGCGCACAAACTGCTTGGCGAGGTAGTCTCCCTCCGTCCCCGCGTTGTTGCAAGTTTCGACGAAATGTGCAACGTGCTGTTTTGGGTTTCCTTTTCCATCAAACTGCATGAACTTTGGTGGTTGATAACCCCTTGGCATCCTTAGGGCATCAATCTTCTTGGAATAGGGCTTCGAGTAGAACAAGGAGGTATGTGAGCTCCCTTCGTACTGTGCTTTGATGGTATTGGTGATCATCTCCTGCAACTGCTGGATAGAAAGAGATCCCATGAGTGCCGCTGCTTGGTCTGGTTTCGGCTTCCCATCGATTTTCTTCACCGGGGGTTCTTCGTCTCCGCCAGCTCCTCCCTTTAGTGGATCATCCTCTGGGTCGGGTTTATCGTCGTCCTGCGCCTCCAGTCGGTTGACTAGTGCTGCAATTTGCAAGTCTTTTTCTTCCACAGTTCGGGTTAGCCTTGCGATTGCTTCATTCATTTGAGCCAGCTGCTCATCGATTGAAGTTGCTCCAATCGTCATGACTTGCATGGCTGAACTGTCGCTTGAATCGGCATCGAGAGCATGCATTCGGAGTATTTCCTTGGGCTTCCCCCCCTTGGTGCCCTTAGTGAGGCTAAGGTGATCGAAGGCTCGTGCCTTGGGTGCTTTTGTTCCCTTGGCAGAGTTGATGCAGAGGTGAAAGAGGCGGCAGAAGTAGCTCTTGCCATGCTTCGAGTCGTGATGCCCAAAGTGACACCAGTTGCGACGAGGACGCCTTTATTCTTTGCACCTGTTGCGGGAACAGTTTGAGCCTTCCTTGATGCCATTAATTTTGGAAGTGCGCTTGAATTTCTTGAACGGAGAAAGAGATGAGAGGCAGAGATGGTCCCACTGGGCGTGCCAATTTGTGAACACGGAAAATTCCTGAAACGAATGAGACAAGAACAACGTGCACAAACAAATATTATGTATTTTGATGATTTTGGGTTACAATCTCTCTCTATTTTGATCCTCTGATTCGATCTCCGTAAGGTGTGTATTTGTGGATGTGCGATTGATCCAAAGGGCCGTTGGGCTTGATCTAAGGATGAACGTTCTTCAAGGGCCGTGGACTTGATCTTGAAGGTGGATTTGAGTGGATCTTCAAAGGGGCTTTTGGGCTTGATCTTTGAAGAACAGTGATGAACGGATCTCCAAGGGCTTTTGGGCTTGATCTTGAAGAACAGTGATGAACGGATCTTCAAGGGCTTTTGGGCTTGATCTTGAAGAACGGTTGGATGCGTGGATTTGTCGACGTTGTTGATCCAAAGGGCCGTTGGGGCTTGATCTTGGATGAACGGATGATGAACGATGGTGCTTTCTTCAAGGGCCGTCGGGGCTTGATCTTGAATTGGTGGATGGTTGATCCAAGGGCCGTCGGGGCTTGATCTTGGAAGAACGATGAACGAAGAATGAAGAACACTTTCTTCAAGGGCCGTCGGGGCTTGATCTTGAATTGGTGGATGATTGTTGATCCAAAGGTCGTCGAGGCTTGATCTTGGAAGAACGATGAACGAAGAACGAAGAACAGTTTCTTGATTCTTCGGGAACCTGGATGCTTGAGAGCTTCGGAGTTTCAGAGCTTCAGAGTTTCAAGGTGTAATATGAATTCGTCCTTCTAAATGAATGAAATGGGCTTGTATTTATAGAAATTTCCAAGGCCTAATTTTGCATATAATATTCCAGATGAAATAAGTCGTTTCTGCCAGGTGTTGACACGTGTCCTATTTGATGACT